GGGATATCAAAGATGTCAAGGCGAGTGTATTCCATTGAGAGCTAATAGTGTTTAGAGAGAAAAGCTTTTCAGAATTCTAAAATAGAATTTGTGCTGATAACGACATTCTAAGGCGTAACCTCGGGCTTATTTTTTGTACTTTTATACAACAAAACCTCAACGGCCATCGCAAATATTGCCTATCAATCTCTGGTGTAAAAATATTTTTTAGATCAAATGTTTATTAATATTTTATACATATAGTAGAAATTAATATTTAATTATTATTATTAGTTGTATAATTTTTATTTCTTAACTAGTTATTTTAAACCTAAGCAAATCAATGAAAACAAAAAACCAAATGTGAATTTTCTTGTAAGGACGAGTAACTACAAACACAACAAATATAAAAGACAAACAAGAATTCAAAGAATTTTTGTGTAAATCTTTTCATAGGTTTTTTACGTAACTAATAGTTACACATGGACGATTTTAATCTTTAGATATGAAATTATTAAATACCATTACCGTAATTATCTTAACTGACCAGTTTTTCAATAGCGAATAAATGATAACGTATAAAGTATCATTTATCTTATTCCGAAACTGGTACTCCCCCCCCCCCCCCCCCCTACATACGTAGTTAAATCAATTTTAGTAAAAAAAATGTGAAATTGAATGCTTTAATTGACACTGTAAGTTGTTCTTAAAGAAAACAAAGTATTTTATCTGTAATTTCCTTCATAAAATGTTTAATTTTAATTTTTATTTTATTTAATTTCTAGTTCTAATTTTAATAAAAAAATAAATGAATTGTTTATGTTTATTTAGGTTTTTAATAAAGAAATGTAAAAGTCAATTTTTAAAAATGTTGCAAAGTTTTGTTTTATAGGACAGAAAATTAGAAAAATTCCTGTTGATAAAAGAGAGCCATATCGCAACGTTATTGCGCAATTCATTTGGTTATTCAGATACCATTGACCTATATAGGGTAAGGGTACCAGTAGTCGGCACTTTTAGGATTTTTGCGTTTTTAATCGCTCACCATTCTGAGTGGAACTTTTCAATTATTACAAAGTTAATTTATTCAGATTTGAAATTTTGTATAGTTTTTGCAATAATAAAAAATTTAATAACTTTTTATTAAATTTCACAAATTTGTAGTTTTATTAAAACAATGCTTTTTTGCCAGTAGTCGGCACCACTTGCTAATTGTCGGTATGGCATGTTCCAACAGTCGGCGTACCAATTTTTTTGTAAGAATAATTAATAATAATTATAAATTAATTCATTAAAATATAATATTTTTGTTTCGTTAAACTGACTCGACGTCTTTATTGTACTTTTCTTAAGAATATGGATTATAGAGGACCTTCACAGACAAAAATTTAATTTTTATTAGAATAAATCAATTTTCCTTAGCGAAATTGTACACAAAGATAGCTGACAATATATTTGAAGTAAGCAAAATACATTTAGTTATAAAAGTTTCATTTATTTGGGCTTAAAAATAAAAAGTGCCAACTACTGGGACATGCCGAACTTAGGCACACTTACCCTACGTCATATAAGCTATAATAAATCAATCCCAAAATAAAACTTGTTCAGTATCAGATTGGGAAATTGTCAGAAATTACTAACATTACCTTACTACATATGATGCAACTTTGTACCATGGTACAATTCAATCAAGGTAATCCCATTTAAAAAATTAATATGCGGCTCTGCGTTTTTCCGAAATTTACCTTGTCAAATTTAACTTCATAGAAATCTAGTTCCCATCTCTCGTTCGAGTGTATACAATGAAATAAGAAATAAACATTTTGGCAATGAGATATTGTCAAATGTATAATTTTGAAAAAATTGCAAACATATGACTGTATGACCTCAATTTCTTAAATTTACCATGTGATCTAAATAATAATAAATACGATTCTCACTACAAAGAACTTTTTGTAAAAAAAGGTAATAAGCAGTCTTTGTCCTAGATGTCCGAAATGTTTTGTTCTACCTTAAACGACCCTTAAAAATGTTGAATATTGAAAACTACTCTACAAGGTAAAATAAAAAAATGCAACAAAGTCAAATGCCATAATTTTTACTTTTTTAATTTTATTGAATGAAGGAAAAAATGTCGGAAATTTTAGAATGAGTCAAGATTTGTTCGAATTGGTCACCTTTGCCACGAGTTATGGCCTTCACACGGCCAATCAAACCGCCACACGCTGCTCTGCGGTATTTTGGTCCATTCCCGGCGAAGCGCTTGCTTGAGGTGATCGACATTTTGGTAAATTTTAGTGCCGACTTTGATTCCCAAAACACTCCAGATAAAATAGTCCAAAGGACTTGTATCCGGAGATTTTGGTGGCAATTGTGCTCTGGAAATGAAGCGAGCAAACTCATTTTGTAACCATTCTTGGGTGGCGCGTGCTGAGTCCTGTTGGAATATCCAATGTCTGCGGCGTAAATGTTTGCGAGCCCAAGGCTTCAATACACCCTACAGAATATTTTCGCGATAATATTCGGCATTTATTCTGATGCCACGGTCGATTAATACGAGCGGAGAGCGACCATCGGCTTTGGGCATCGGCCAACACCATCACCATTCACAGTTCTTGTGCCCAACCGAAGGTGCACATTTTCAGCTGACCTCTTTGGCAAGTAAGCACGATATTTTTTTTTTTTTTACAAACTGGTGGACAACGAATGTTTTGTCATCGGAGAAAACCAAATTCGTCAGTTCACCACTTTCGGCCAAGCGAAGCAACTCTTTAGCTCTTTTGAGTCTATTTTCTTTCTGTTGCGCTGTAAGTTCTTGCTCTTTTTGGAATTTCAATGGCTTTACCCCGAGCTCATTGTTCAATACTTGGCGAATGGAATATTGCGATATGTTCAGCTCACTAGTCATTTTTCGGCCACTGCGACGCGAATTTCCATAAAGTCGCTTCTTTACTATTCTAACCATTTCTGCTGATGTTGCTGTTTTCTTCCGTCCACTTCCTTGAGCTCGAGCTACGCTACCATTATCACGGTAACGATCGATGGTACAATCGCACTATTATCATTATTAATTATAATATTATTAATTTTCAATAGAGGTTTGGAAGAGGTGGAGTAGAGAATCCTGAAATATTTCATATGTGCCGCTTTCTTATGTATTTGAGTAGATGATCTAAAGATTTAGAATTGAGACATAATCTGCACGAAAACTTGGCAATAATACAATGCATATATGTATTGATACAATTTACACATTTCAATTCTCAAGTAGGGTACGAAAACAAATGAGACGTAAACGTACAGTTCACACGAAGTAACAAACTCTACAATGTTCTCCAATCGTTTTGTACTCCAAACAAAACGAAATCACAAACATTTAAATGCCAGTAGTACAAAAGCAGTACGATTGCCTTTACGTACTTCGGTTTATTATTATTATTATTATTATTATTATTATTATTATTATTATTATTATTATTATTATTATTATTATTATTATTATTATTATTATTATTATTATTATTATTATTATTATTATTATTATTATTATTATTATAATTATTATAATTATTATTATTATTATTATTATTATTATTATTATTATATTATTATTATAATTATTATTATTATAATTATTATTATTATTATTATTATTATTATTATTATTATTATTATTATTATTATTATTATTATTATTATTATTATTATTATTATTATTATTATTATTATTATTATTATTATTATTATTATTATTATTATTATTATTATTATTATTATTATTATTATTATTATTATTATTATTATTATTATTATTATTATTATTATTATTATTATTATTATTATTATTATTATTATTATTATTATTATTATTATTATTATTATTATTATTATTATTATTATTATTATTATTATTATTATTATTATTATTATTATTATTATTATTATTATTATTATTATTATTATTATTATTATTATTATTATATCATTATCTTAAATAATAAGATAACATTATAATTAATACGGTGAAAATATTGGTGTAATTCTATATAGCATTCATAATTACGACATGTTACAGATGTATACGGAATAACTGCAACAAATCGAATAAAACATATAGGCATCTCTAGACCCATTTTCACCGTAGTTACTATACTAGCTATGGGCTAAACTTGGTCGTGTGTGCCAAAACCCTATTATATTTGGCCAGATATTAGTACATAAACCAATTATTACGAATTTATATATGATTCGGCCTTGGTTCAAAGTTTTGTTTTAATGGGACAATAAAGACGATCTGTCATTTGCTTACAGATCGTAATCGTAATTTGCTTACGACGAACTAATGTATGGGCACACGTAAATCGGCTCCAAATGTGATCTTGTGCAGGTCACTTAAAAGAACAATAGGAATATAAAATTGCAAGCAAATGCACAAAGACGTAATACCGTATACCACAGTGTGGCATAGTCATAGATAAATTTCTATAGTCGAAATTAAAAAAAAAAAAAAAACTTACGAGTCAATTTCGAAAAATTGTTCAGGTAAGTTACGACTTGAAGATATACCAATTTTTTATTAGTTTGCCATGCCTTAATTATGGTCTCTGCACTTATTTGCTATTTTAGTTTTGAGGCACTACTTTAATCGACAAAATATTTTAAAGGTTTGAACACATAACTAACTCAACTCACAGATAAAACAGAAACTAACACATGTCTACGTACACATACTACAACATATTTATTTCATTCGAAATACTTTTTTGAACTTGCATACAGCTTGTTGGAAAATAATAATCTATTTAAACTCAAATAAAACATTTTAATATGATTTTTATTCACACTGGCTGTTCAAAATAATCAGCGTGATTTGTATTATGTCTGTTTAGTGTAGGGTCGCCAGAACAAAGAACTATTCAAATGTGCTGGACCTGGTTACAATAAATAAAATAAAAAAATAACTACAACTAACATTCGAATCTAAAATGTGAATCGCTTTTTATATTGTTCTATTTTTGCAGGACTTCAAGGAATTTACAGATGCCGAAGGTGTGATATCACTTCCAACATCGGACTTCCATAAGCCGATCTGTTATGAGATGCGACAAGCGGCTAATCGCCAGTTGCAACAAACTCTTCCATTTGGCGGCTTTCCAATTGCGGCCTCACCACCTTCTGTGCCGGCCATACCGCCAGCATCGGCGGCAGCTTTCATATCCAATCAATTACAAATGGGCAGCGGTGGCATTGTGACCGCTTCCACGGGTACAACACAAAGCGAGCTACTGTATTCGGCCGGCAGCGGAGGTGTTGTGCGAACGTCACTGCCATACACTGCCACCGGTGGCCTTGCGCCCATATCGCAATCCTCGTCGACGTCATCGTCGTACGGCACCACGACATCGACCACCATCGCGCTGCCATTAGACACGACTCTGAGATATCCGCCGTATGTGAGCAGCAGTTCCACTGTCATCAGTAATTTCAATCACAATTACAATAACAATTTCAACACAACATCTCTGGGAACTTGCCATCCGCTGCCAATGAGCACCAGCCAACAAGGTGTGACAGCACTGGGGAACAATTTCAGCAACAATAATTTGAATAACAATTTCAATAATAACAATGCCGATCTGGCAAGCGTAGATAGTTCGGACACCTATGCCAGTTGTCAAACCCACCCATTCTTGTCACAAGGCGACCTCACGTCCGATCTGAACGACGAGGTGTGTGCCCTGGACATTGATATGGATAATTTGTATATAAATCCACTGGAAAAAGACTCGGCTGGTAACACAACTACCGGTTATATGGTGGGTCTACCGCCGACGCCATCTTCGGGCCAGATACGGGCCCATGTGAAAAAGAGCGCATCTGGTGATACGGCTTTGCGAAATTTGGCAGCTGGTGGTCTAAGTCCCATGGATGATGTCTATCAAAATTTCGACGCTCATGATCGCGGCAGTCACATAAGCCTCAATGAGAATCCAGTGCCAAAGCATCGCAAGACGCGATTCCAACAGAGTTTCTCGGCAGCAGCAATGCCATCCTCGTCGTCCACCTCACATTCCACCGTCGGCCCGATGCAAATGTCCAAGCCACGAGCCCGTTTCGAAGACTCGAAACTGTCGCAGGAGAACATCGGCAGCGATAGCAGTCCGGCCAGTACCACGACCAGTAAAAAGAAGCGTTCATCGTTTATGCCCGGCAAGAGTTTAGCCACTGCCACCAAACTAATAAATCAGCATCTTTTCGGCATACAAAATGTTGGACCCAAAGGTAAGATCCGATCAGTCGCATCCGACACATTTTGTTGTGTATATTTCTGTGAATAAACATGTTTGCTTCATTTGGAAGTTGCATAATTAATTGTGAATTATGTAAATTTAATATTTTATATAATTTTTTTAACCAAAATAACAAAGAGCAATTCAGTTTTCGGAATTTTTAAATAATTTTTTATTATATAATTAAAAGTTCGCATGGATATCTGGTTAGGGAAATTAATCCATTTTGGAGAATTTACCTTCACAAGTTCTTTAACGCCTATTTACATAAAAATGTTATTAAATTAATATTTGTTTTGTATTTTATTAATATTTAAAAAATCACTAAATTGTTAAGATTCCTCGAATCTGTATTGCCGAGTTGAAGTTATATAGTATTTTCCTCCACATAGAGATCTAAACGCATACCCTATGTTTCATAACTGAAAATTTAATGTCATCATTAACCCATGGCATACCAAAGCTGGAAATTCGTAACGGTCTTAAACTGTTACTGGAACTTACCGAACAAATTTCCTTTCTTAAACGAAAAATAACTAGAGAGACCCATTGTTAACCTCAATTATAGGAAATTCAAAAAGAAACATGATGTTGGTATTTAACAGTAACTTTTGTATGAGTTTTAATAACAATCCTACGAGGACAGATCAATAATTGCATCACTCTTGATTGCTCAAAAATGTGCAAATTTAAAATTTAAGAGCAAATAAATATTTTGTTTCCTTCATAAATTACGATATATTTCAATTGTTTTTATTACCCCTGTAGCAAATGTGCCTCACGTATCTCTTTGGAAAACATCCGCTTCAAGTTTGTTTCGGAGATATACCCATTTTTATTACCTTTTACATGCGTAAATATGATCGATTTAGCAATGTCCGTTCGTCTGGGCACACGATAACTCTCGAAGGGAGCATCTAACGAAATTAGGTCGAGTTCGTAGATGGGCCTGTCCATCCTTTTGCAAAATATGAGAATCTTTTATATTATTATTAATTTAATTTACCTCATTGAAAGAGAATAGATCATCCGAGAAGAAGACGAAATCGGTTAACTACCACAAAAAAGCGTCAACATTTTGAAAAAATATAACTTTCATAAACATTGATGTCTATGCAGTATAAATATGGAATCTATCATCTGACTCCTCCTATACCTCCCCCACTAAGGGTCAACCTTCTGAATGTTATGTTTCCGATATTGATCAAACTGAGCACATCCAAATATGTTTTTTCTTTGTTGCAGCATAAATGAAATTGGGAAATATTGGACCATTCTTTCCGCTACCTCTCCAAAAGAGTTTACAGAATAAATGCTGTCCAAAGGCCAAGCTAGGCTAAAGTGAAATGCAAAAATGGAAGACTACTTCTGTCCCTAAACCTAATATATCACTATTTTGAATAATGTCCGACTTTCTTTAAATTTTCTACATATTCTATTACATTTATTAGCAAGTCTGAAGATGAAAAATACCGGTCAATGCTTAATTATAACACCCACATACATAACGGCATTTTGATGGTTTCGGCCTCAGTTTCCAACTGCAGTTTGATATTTTGTATTGTAATGCATAGGTTAGTAGGTTCATATAGAAGATAGACAACATATATCTGTACCTCCTCAAAAAATTTTTCAGTGGTCAGCACCCATTAAACGGTATCTCCAGATATTCGGTATGGCAAAGATTTAAGCCACATTTCCTAAATTGGGGATTGGGTATAGTTTTGGATTCCACCTCATGTGGAAGCATGTGCCTATATAGATCCAAACTTTCTTAAAAGGTAAGCCTCCTGGTACTCCAAATTTTAATGATTTTACCCACATTTTTTCACGGCAGTGTCTGCAATAGATGCCAACAACTATTGTGTATGTAAGTTCACGTTTTCATATAGCATCAACGTGATGTAACATGTGGTATATCAATTCAACGGTACCTCCCGCTATTCGGAATTTTGTTGACTTTATCTAAATTTTCCACGGAATTGTTCCAATTTTGATAATAATAACTATAGCAGAAAATTATCTATGAGGGTTCAAATTTCGTCACAACTCCTATGTAGGTTGGAGGCCTTGGGACCGGTGCCGCCACGAAATGGCTATTTTTTTTTTGAGATTGTTTCGTATATTTTACATTGAAAAGCTAATTTTTCCCTTGTTGGGTTCCTCGAAATTGTGGCGAAATACATTTCGGTGTGCGTCTATAAGGTCCACATTATGGTATTTTAAAGACTGTATTCTCCAACTATTTTACTGGCATTTGGCAAATTGGAACTCGTTCGAATTTGAATCCCAATTTTTCTTAAGGGACAACTAAAAATATATACATCCTTCTATAATTGTTACTCCAATTCGCCATGCCAAGCACCTTACATTTAGGCACCCTTCTATGGGGCTATACCAAAAAGTGTACCAACATTGAAAGTCAGAAAAATCGTGATTTAAACTAACGAGCCGAAAGACGGACGCATAAGTTGATATTAACATAAAACTTTACGCAAGGTATCCGAAGATCTTTTCGAGGTGTTACAAACGGAATGGCCAGTATAAATTTAATTTGCTAATAAAGGGTAAACATTTTGACTGAAGGCTGACAAATGATATATGCTGTTCATATAACTACGACGGATATTAGAAGTCATGGATTTTTTTTTTTTTTGAAAACTTAGGTAAATTAAGACGCTTTCTAATAAAATACTTATTATGTGGAGGAAAACAATACAAATATTCGGCCATTTATATGGCTTATCTTATAACCGACTTGTATTTTCTTTTTATATAGGCAATATGGGCTAGGCCCCAAATATTTTTTGTGGATACCGGGACATTATTATTTTTCCATTTTTATTTATTATTATAAGTTCCTTGAAAAAGACATCGCTTTTTTTTATAAAATAACTTAAATACTTAATAGACATCCGTCTATATTTTTTATGCTGCCAGCAAATCCAATATAATTGCTGAAAAACTGTGAATTTAAGTCTAAGACTCTCAGACTTTTTGGTCCTTTTACACATCCCAGACCTAATAAGAAAGCTGTGGTATTTTCTTTTCGATCAAGTTTTTAAATTCCTAATGAATTATCTGACAGTCTGTTAAGGTTCATACCACATTTCTATGAAATATGGATATGAACCTAAAGTTGCGCCATAGATATTTTCTGAAGTATAATAACATTCAATTGTAATTCCTAATTCTAATCCTCGACTGCCAGCAATGTTAATTTGTAAATATTGATTGATGTATATGTTTGTATTTATATTTGTTTAATGTATAATTTACTGGATCTGCCTCGATATATGTATGTATATACGTTGGTGTTGTTTTTTGCTTGCTTGTAATTATTTAGCCAAATTTGAAAGTAAACATTCCTCATCGATAGAATCAATAGATGCATCGCCGAATTTGGAGCATCATCGCCGCTCGAAATCAATACTCAAGAACAAATCGGATGTGTCACGTGTGCTGGCGGATCCGGAAAGTGAACGTCTATTGGCGGACAACATGTCTGGTTCAGGTGTCTCTGACAATGGCACAGTAATGGTAGGTATCCAAATATCGGAAACTACGGATTGTCCTTAACAACTAATCAATTGTAATTGTATTTTTTGCTATTCCCATTGACAGGGCGAATCAGGCAGTGATTACTCACCGAATAAATTACCTCATTCAGTTTTAGCTAAGTCAATATCCCCACCACCCCTTAGGCATCGAACCCTAATGCAACAACGCTCAGGCCCGGCCACGTTACAATCAAAGCCGACCAAATTCCAGACGCCTCGCTACCCAGCGGAGGAGCAAGCTCTGCGACAAGTTAAGCCGGTGCTGTCCCGTGCTGGCGCCGCTTCACATCTGTCAGGAGACAGTCGTTATGACTCAACGAATAGAGACAGTAGTTTAGGTAAATATGCCAAAGCAAAAGAAACAGAAGCAAACGAACTCCACGGAGAAGTTTGATTCAAACCAACAAAAAAAAAAAAGAAAAGAAATGAATTAAATAAAAATAAAATAAAATATGAATTTATAGCGACTTTACAACTCCACTAATACCAAACTTCTATTTTCAATTAAACAATCAAACAATTGTGAATGATCCATCATTTGTTCCATTCATCCGTCAGTCATTTTCGATGCTGCATTTTAAGTGATAGCCACCACCTTTGAAGCATGTCTCCTCCTTCTCTATCTCTCTATCTGCCCGTCTGTGAAAATTCTCCAGTTATGTTGGTTATGTTTTTGTGGAATCCCCTAATATTTGGTGGTACAGTTCTTGTATGTCGTTCTTTTCAGCAACTCAAATTTGTAAACTTATGATAAATAGCACAGTAAAACCTTGTTATGTTGCACTTATTCACCTGGCAAATGTTTAATAGCTACGCACACGATCACAATACTGCATACATACTTCTCAGGTCGATTTCTGCTAACAAAGTCATATTCATTATAAAATAATTAATAACCTTTTTCTTAATTTTATTGTCATCAAACGTCTACTGAATTAATTTCTATAAATTTTGTAAATAACAGCTGTTTAATAATTTTGTACATTAATACCCATTACAGATATTTGCGTACATCTACATCTAAGTAAGTGAGGTGAAGTGTGGGAGTTAACAACGATGAGCAGTGCTATGTTGGAATACCTTTGGAAATAATATAACAAAATAAATTAAAACAATTATAATACTAATTATTATGTTTAGAAAAACAAATAGCAGGAAAAATATTTATTTTTTAATTTAAGTTGAATATTGTCTTGATATAGCAAACCAGAAAGCGATAATGGGTACTATTTGGGTATTTGCATAAATGCCCGAACTCTTTCTTCTTGATGAGTCAGTTTCGGACGCAGTTCTATGAGATTGTTGCAGGAAATATTGTGATTCAATAAATACGAAATATCACGCTAAAGGCTTAAAGTGTTTTTTACCTATTTAACATTTGAAATTTAATATTGCGAGCAGTACATTTTGAGTAACTGTCTCATTGGAACCCTGCCTCCAGTATTAGACCGCCAAAAGAAAAATTTATTTATTTACGGAATTAACTACTTGGTTTTTGTCCTTTTGGATGATCGCGAGAGTACCTTTGAGTAACGGTAGACCACGAAATGGTTGACTTGAGTCTTTATAGACGCTTATGTTCAGAGCCAGGTCGGGCACTAATCAGGAAACCCAAACTGAACCAACGAGGCAAATTAAATAGCGATGAACGAAAAGAGCGTTCTTTGAGTCCTTGAGCACGCACTAAACCTTATGAAATAAGAAGAATAGATTTCTCCCTTTCCGGGGGGCAAAAGTCGGTGTTTTATTGATTTTGAAACTAAATTACAATACAGGGTGCGAAAAAAAACTGCAACAAAGTCAAAAGCCATAATATTTATTTTTTTTAATTTTATTGAATGAAGCCAAAAAAGTTGTCAGAAATAGCATCAAATTTTAGAATAAGTTTAGATTTGTTCGAATTGGTCGCCTGTGACACGAATTATGGCTTTCAAACGGCCAATAAGACCTTCATACCCTGCCCGAATGTTGCTATGCGGTACTTTGGCCCATTCCCGGCAAAGAGCTTGCTTGAGGTGATCGACACTTTGGTATTTTTTTTTTTGTGCCAACCATGCTTTCCAAGGTCTGCGGCCAAAATGTTTGCGTGCCCAAGGCTTTAATACACCCTCCAGAATATTTTCGCGATAATATTCGCCATTTATTCTGATGCCACGGTCGATTAATACGAGCGGAGAGCGACCATCGGCTGTTATGGCGGCCCGCACAATCACCATGGCCGGCGCTTGAGTTCTGTTGGTCAACCGCAAGTGCACATTTTTAGCTGACCTCTTTGGCAAGTAAACACGATCATTTTGTTTGTTTAGAAACTGCTGGACAACGAATGTTTTCTCATCAAAGGAACTCTAATTCCCACTTTTTCAATATTTGCCGAATGGAATATTGCGATATGTTCAGCTCACGAGCCATTTTTCGGCCACTGCGACGCGGGTTTCGATCAAGTCGCTTCATTACTTAGCGAACCATTACTGCTGATGTTGCTGTTTTCTTCCGTCCACTTCCTTGACGTCGGGCTACGCTACCAGTAGCACGGCAACGAGAGGTGATGCGAGACACAAACGATTTATTCGCATTTAAATGCTGTAGTGCCCTAACAATAGCCACTTGTGGGTTTCCACCCAAATATAAAGAAATCACACTATCACGCTTGAATTCCATCACGAATAACTTTTTTTCTGGAAAATTCTCACCAAAATGCAAAATGACAGCAGTCTAAAGTTAGTTGCAGTTTTTCATCTCACCCTGTATACTCGATTTGAATATATAGAGATTCGTTCGGGTTTGGCAGCTCACTGTGGATGTGCTCGGAGCCCTATGCATAGGCCTTCGCAGATGTATAGAGACTCGTTCGGGTTCGGCAGCTCGCTAAAGGTAGGTGCAGCAAACGATGTCTAGACCAAACGATGTTTATGTGGGTCGGAACTCGTTCGGGTTCGGCAGCTCACTGTGCGTATGTTCGGGCTTAGTTATTCGGGTCGATTACCATGGACGGCTAGCGCTACGGGTTATAACTACCTCCACGACCTATGTTTGACTGTGATACGGAACAAAGAGCCTGTTTAAATGAATTACCGGCCACTTGAGTTAATGAGAACCAGTATTGGAAAAAAGTATTCCCAGTTAGCATTTTTGTTAGTCGGAGGACGGCAAATGATTCATGCATTATGCATGTCGGTCGGTCTATCCATCCATCTGTCCATGTATTTTTGTAAACAAGGTACGGCCGCAATTATTATCCGAGTAAATTTGACACCATTCATTTGATCAATCCCAGGTGGAATTCTATTGAAATTAGTGGTAACCGATCCCAAATGTTTAATATCATACCATGGCACATAAGAACAAATTTACGTCAAATGTTGATAAAAAAAATCGGTTAAAATATAAAATTATATGTTTCATCCGATTTATTTAAGTCGCCCAAACGCGTAATATGCGCATCATGATTTGCACAATGACTTTCAGTATATAGTTTATAGCAGCGGTTCCCAGAGTTACTGGATTGCGACCCCGCTAAGAAAGGCTTAAAAAATTGCGACTCACCTATTGGTTACACCTGTTACAAATCCAATTCGAATTTTAGAGTTGACTATCTCCTCCCCGAAAAAAGCATAAAAATCTTTCTTAACAATGATACGTGCAAGGCGATTGCAGAAAGTACTTTCATGTTTGGGTGCACTTGGTTTTCAGCTATTGGGGTTTCAAAACAATCATGTTTACCATTCTCAATACAACTTTCCCACAAAAGTATCGTTTTCACGAAAGCTCGAATGTCAGTTTCGTTTGAACCTAACAGATACAAGTTAAGTTCGTGTAACTTGGAAAAGGTATTCGCCGAATATTTTAATTTAAGCAAAATTTCGTCGTCCTGTTGATGTTCAATACACTCGGGGTTTCCTTCTAAAAATATTGATACTTTAAGCCGTGGCCCCCCCGTCAATCGTGTCAGTATTTTTTCTCTGGATAGCGAACGTATCTAGAAATGGAGAAAATTTGCTTGTTTTTGATGAAATCTGAAACTTTTACACCTTACAACACAATGCATTGGGGGTTGTAACACCTCTAAATATTGGCCCTAGACCCACAATCGCGATCGATCTTATTATCTCGCCGAGCTGAGTCGATCTACCTATGTGTGTCCGTTTGTACATGTTAATTTGGAGATTGGCTTATGGCCAGAATGAAGGGCTATTGTTGGAGAAGGATAAAGTGGGTCAAAAGTCTTGGGTTTACAGTCGCAATTATAAACTAATGGTAATTTTGCGTGGGGGGTTTGTCATAAAATAATATTTAGCGGGTGAAATGGAATACAAATTTTGTGAGAACTAATTCAAAATTTCCATTCTACCGCTAATATTTTAAATACTGAAAGTCACTTTTTGATGAAATCACTGGTATATAAAGACTACACATCTCACCTCTATTTAGATGCGTATTTGGTTGCGAATAGCGTGTATATCGATATATACACATGGATCCTAATTTTCAAATGTTGTTTCGAATCCACCATAAGCACGACAGATGCAGGAAATATAATTTGGAGTTTGGCATTGTCTTATGGCACTGCTCACGTCTGAACAGAGTAATGTAATAATAACAACAATGACCCTTTAATAGGAATTTATTAGATTATTTGTAACCCCTTCAGAACAAAGCCTTTTATTTAGAATTTCGTTCAAATAGTCCAATTATGTGCCCCTATTTTTTCCCGCAATTAGCCTACGCTCCGTCCGACACCGACACAGCTCATTCAATCCATTCCTCTTCCTTTCCCGAAAATTTCTTCGCTCATTGCTTGAATAACTGATTAACAGAACAAAATATCTTCATGCTGCCATATCTAAAGAAAGAGACAAGCTCTGAAAGGCGGTAGTGTCATCTAGTTAAATAATGTAGTATTCACAACCAACAACTTATCGTAGCTTTTCATGTTCTACCCACAATAAATGTTCTAATCCGTCCCAAATTCCAGGACCAACACAATATTTTTTTTCTCGAACCACTGGCGGTACGCAACCCATACTTTGGGAAGTACTGCTCTATAGCAATAATATTTTATACGAACGGTTACGCACATCATGGACATACCTTCCGCAAATTTCGTGTAAATAGATTAAGATATAGCTTCAATATATTGGTCCCATCCGATTTCAAATTCAAAACGCAGTCATAAATATTCATAGTTGATACGAATTATTCAGTGAGTTCATACAATTTTAATCAGATATGTGTTAGGTCCTTCCTTGCATACCACTGTCGACATAAGTCTAAGTTTTGGTATAGTCCCCATATAAATGCACCTCCGGATATTCGGTATTTTGATGAATTCTTTTCACCGAAAATATTATAATGTGGAATTGTAAGTTCCTAATTACGTACATCCTATGACAGAAAATTGTTCATACGGATCTATGTCTTCTTATAGCCCCCATATAACGATACCTCCCAATATTCGTTATTTTGGTATTTAAATATAGCAATGGCCACACATCTTCGTATAGGCCCAATAAAACGGTAACGATGTTCGGTATTTTTATTATTTTACCAATATTTTTTCAATGGATTTTTTGGAAAATTTACAAATGGTGGAGGGCTGGATTTTTTTAATCAAATGAGACATACAAGTCCATGGTATTTAGACAATTTTAGTTGGTTTTCAATGAATATTATTATACCCTACAACACTATGTGTTGGCGGTATTATAAGTTTGATTGGACCAAAAATTATGTAACACCTCGAAATATTGGTTTCCCACATAGGAAAGTATATATGGATCTTCCTATCTCGCCGAGCTGAGTCGATCTAGCTATGTATGTCCGTCCGTCCGTTTGTCCATGTTAATTTGTAATCACTCTACAGGTCGCAATTATGGCCCAATCTTCACGAAATTTAGAATGGAGGTTGGGCTAGGGTCAGAATAGAACCCTATTTCTTTTGGATGATCGCATAATATTTAGGGGTCGAAATGGACCAAAAACTGAAAAAATGTTGGATTTTGCAGTAGCTATACAGGTCGCAATTATAGACCAATCGACGCGGAACTTCGCATGTAGCTAGAGTTTAGGACGGGGAAGAAGCCTACCAATTTGGGTGGTCATCGGATAATATTTAGCGGGTAAAATAGACCATATCTTTTGTGTTGAAAAAATTCAACATTTTTCATTAAACCGCGAATATTTTAAATCCCGGCAAAATCACAAAGCCATGACAAGGTTACTTCTGATCTTTACATTGATGTTAAGATCCAACAAAACAGATATATAGCAAAATATGTGCGATATTTATGTCTATCAAAGAATATATGCTTGAAAGATCTCTTATATGTCGAAAACGGCTGAACTGATTTCGACTGCCTCTTGGCAGGAATGAAACAACGTCTAAAAAATCGCATAAAAATATCTCTCTAAAGATTAAAATATTGATTTTGTACAATTTTCTCATATTTTTTTCAATTTTGTCACATTTTTGGCATATTTTCATTTTGAATTAAACATTTGGTAATATTTCTACAGCTAACATAACTTAGTAGTTAGGATATCAGGATATCATATACGGATTGCATTTATGGCCCGATCCTTACGAAATTTTGAATGGGGATCAGATGAGGGTCAGAATAGAAGCCTTCTCTTTTTGGAGATGATCGCCATATATTTAGGGGTTGAAATGGACCAAAAAAAACTGTAAAATTGTCAGCAAGTTGTAATTATCGCCCGATCCTCACGCGCATTTGAATGGAGGTTACCGGACATTGCAAAAGCCAAATAGTTTTGGATGGCCATCCAAAAATATTCAATGTGTGAAATAGTTTACCAACTTTTGTAGACAAAATACGAAAATATCCATTCCAGTGACTTTTTGGAGAATTCACAAATACAGGAAAGACGCACTTCTGACTATTTCGTTAAGGCTGATTTCGTTGAAGAATATAGTCAAATGTCTGTATCTCATATAGATGCGTTTTAGTCAAAAACCAATAATAAATGTAAATCTTTTGCCACTTCTGAGATATTATAGGTCTTTGGGAAATATTGGTTCCAGATCTAGGAAGACCATTTACGTGCAACATCTTCCAATAAATTGGAAATGAGCAAATTAGTTCAAGTTGCTATTATTCGAAAATTAGAGAACGAAACCTGATGGTTTTCTTTTATTATTTGTCACAATATCTTGTGGAATTCTTTCGAGTATACCGCCTATATAAAATGTATCGTTTATTATAGTGTTGTAGGGTATTCAACGGTCGGCTCCGCTCGACTGTAGCCTTTGCTTACTTGTTTTTTTTTATATAAATGACGAATTAGACAAAAAATGCAACTTAGTAAAATATTTTTTTTTGTTTAGTCTAAAAATTAGCGCAAATATGTATTCTTATTATAAGTACTAGCTGAACCCGGTGCGCTTCGTTACCCCTGTTGGTTTTATATACAGTCAAAATTTTATATACAGATATTCTGTGGTTAGAGATATGGTGCATCAAATATACCAAATCGACCGAAAATATGCATGTGAGCTATATCCAAACGTCAACCTATTTTTATACAAAAATCCATCACTTATTCCATTTTTCACGATATGTATTATTGTGTTCGGTTGAAGTCGGCAGAAAATGTATATGGGAGCTATATCCAAATCTGAACAGATTTTAATGAAATTGGGCTAATAATATATAATATAATATATTATATTTCCGGATTAAATCCCGTCACTCATTCCAAATTTCATTGGAATCGTGTTTGGTGTATTAAACAAACGCAATCGGTCGAAAATATGTTAGGAGCTATATCCAAATCTGAACGGGTTTCAATTTAATTTCACTAATTTATTTTTGTACCAATTTCCGTCACTCATTACAGATGCAATAAATATGTGAGATCGGCCCAAGGTATATATGGGAGCTATATTCAAATCTGAGCCGATTTTAGGATAATTTGGCAAATTTATTTCTGTACCGATTTCCGTTACACATTCTTAATCTGAAGAATGTATCTATAACCGATTAATAGAAGTGCATTCAAAAATAAATCTTCTGGAGGTAACTCCGATTTGGAGCCATATCTCCAGTTCCAAGTGGAATTTTTAAAATTTATATAGCCCATGTTACTAACAGGTGATACTGCAGTATGTATGGAAATTTTCAGGAAAATTCTTTTTCTATAAATTACATACAATCAAACGTTCAAACATTTTCCTCTTTTACAGATATAGATTCGAAATATTTTTATACCCTCCACCATTGTAAGGAGGGTATATTAAGTTTGTCATTCCACTTGTAACTCCTCGAAATATTTATTTTAGACCCCACAAAGTATATAATGTATGTTCTTGATCAGCATTAAATTCTATGTCGATTTAGCGATATCTGTCCGTCTGTGGAAATCACGCTAGCTTCCGAACGAAATTAAGTAGGTTGATAAAATTTTACTCAAATGTGTATTATGTCTGCAGGACTTTTGGTATTGAAAATGGGTCATGTAGGTCCACGTTTTGGTATAGCTCCCATAAAATGGTACCTCCCGATATTCGGTATTTTGGTGATTTAAGCGACATTTTCACCGGAATTCTTTTAAATTTCATATTTGAAGTTCGTAATGGGTACTACAGCCTATGACAGAAAATTGTCTGTGCAGCTCCACGTCTTCGTATAGCCCCAATACAACGGTACCTCCCTATATTCGGTATTTTGATGATTTCAGCTACATTATTCACTGAATTTTTTCTGAGTTTCGCATTTGAATATTGTAATGGCTTATGACAAACAATGCCTATGTAGACGGCTACATTCGGTATTTTTAAGATTTTAACAGAATTTTTAACGGATTTTATTTTTTTGAAAATTACTAAAATCGACCAAAATGGTGGAGGGTATTCAAAGATTTTTACTTTTTTACTTGTATCCTGTACCCTTTACACCAACGATGTTCTTCTAGAAAATAAATGTATACTAACATTTATTTGTAAAGTAGTACGTGTGATTTTATAAGCTCCTAGTAAAATGTTTTCAGAGGATTTGAAGATACATTTCAGGCTAGTAATGTTTACAAGATGACATATTATAATAAATTATTAAAATGCTACGGTATCCCGAACAAACAGCCCAACACTGTTCGATAAATTATTAATATTAAAATATAATTTAATTTTTTTAACCAAAGGATTCAATATTTTGCACTGTTCAACATAGCCAAGCTTAACATTGTTGACATCCGACTTCACCTCCAGCACATTTCAAATGACATCACAATTGCTTTTCAGCTTTTTATTCATGATAATTAACTCGCTTTTAATTTGGCACATAATATAATGACATGTATTTACAAAACAATTCAATCACAATTGGCTTTATAAACATTTTAGCAATAATAACATGCGTACATATGTATATGTATTGTAAAATATAAAATTAATTAAATATTATTTTATTAACAATTTGTTTTCTTTTTTCGTTACCGAATTCGCAGATTCTGAAACAACATTTACATCGAATGTTAATTTACGCGGTGAAACTGCGGATAGTGGTAATGATGGCAGCGGTGATGCTGGCGGCTCCAGTGACGAGAATCGTTCGTTACTGCAACGTGATAACTCCAATGAACGCCACGATGACAAAGAGGACGCCAATGGCTCGAAGGCGTAGCAATTAATTCATTCTAAATCGAAAAGGGAATAAAGTCCATTGCAAGGCCAAGGAGGGAGTAGCCATCAATGACCCCATCAAAACTAAACAAAACAAAAACATACAAATTAAAACACAATTTGAAATGTCTAACAGAATGTGAATATTGAAAAGCAATGAACAGTATTTTAGTCTGATTAAATGTTTATTTTTACTTACAGAAATAATTCTTTAAAACCAAAACCAAAAAACAACAACTACAACTATTGTAAAAACAAAATTGATATACCTAACTATCTATACAATATTTACTATATCCTTAAATAGAGAATCCCACTAGCAATCAGCCAACAACCAAACAACAGACATACAAAACAACCAACCGCAAACCACAAACCTATTGGGAAAGTGTAAAAATGTAGTTAAGCTTGAAATATTGGTAACAAACAAACAGACAAACAAACTGTACCGGAACCTAAAACGAAACAATGAAAAAACAATCTTAAATCAATTTTCAAAAATTATACAGCTTCACTGTTTTTTATACATGTATGTACTCTGTCAACTAAGAAGAACAAGAAAAAAAGAATTGAAAAACCAAAAAAAAAGTTATGTCTTCATATTTCTATATATACACCGAAATAACACTAAAACGTCCTCAAAGAACAAAACAAAACAAAAAGCCACAAGTCCAAATTGAAATTAAGGAAAACTGATCGAGTGGATAACAAACTTTACAACTCACATAGAAGCCTCTCTAAAACATAAAACATGCATAAAGTCAAGCCGATGAAATATTGTTCCAAGTTTATTCGTTTTACCCACTTTTCCCCCAGCCTTGGATGATTTTTTTTTCAAATAATTGCAGCTATATTTTATGGCTATGAATTCTGCGACAATTCGTTTTAAACGAAATCGATGTGATTTCTAAAATATGTTTTAAATTGTAACAAAAGCATCGATTGATTCCTTATACACTTCAAATTATATATTTACAAAAACAAAACAAACAACAACTACAACAAATCTAATGAAATAAAATGGTAAAAAGGACAATGTCGTCCCAAACCCCCCAAAAAGAAATACACTTATATATATATACAAATATTTATTCCAAGCTAATATAGAAAACAAAATCAACAAACAAACAAACAAACTATCTAAGAAATGCAACAATTTATTAAAGCAACAACAACTTTTACATCTTAAGGCAATGCTTCAGGTTAATTTATGTAAAAAAAAAGAAAACAAAAACGAAAACAACAAAAAATGAATAAGTGTAAAACATTTTAATTTTTGTTTTGATTTTTTTATCAACTACAAAACAAACAATTTTAACGACCATACTAAAAGTGCAACAACAACCACAACAAACAACAAAAGCAAATAGGCGCAAATATTTTCTTAAAGCAACTGCATAAAGGAATAATGTATAATTTTTATATACACTCATACATGCATGCATGCATAAATAACACACAGCTTTGTACTACTACTACTACCACAACTAACTCATAATGCAATAATTTGTTCAAGTCTACAATGAAAAGTGATGTGGATTCGTTGGCGAAGTGGTCTGTGCGAAGGATACAATCAGATTTTGAATTGAAGTGAATGGGAAATCTTTTCTTAAAAAAAATACATCAAATGGTTTTGAAAATTGTAAAATTATGTGTCCCATCAGAAAACGTTCTCAAAGGATCGGGTTCTTAGGGAGAAATATCGCAACAGGAAATGTGTCGCGCGTATTCACGTTCTGGCGGCCATAGTCTCAGAAATTAATTTCCGTACGCGTATAGAGTAAGCAAAAGACAATTGACGACAAGGCTATACCGGTTTATTACAGGCATATATTCATAGCGACTAGTAATGTGTATCTGCACCTGGAGCTCTATAAAAATACTCAGTATATCGACTACAAGCGGTTTCACCATTTCATAACCAGCTTTAGGTCTAATGCAGTTGTCCTGAGGCAAATATTCTCTTAAGATATCAAATTTTAATATTCCAACAAAGTTTTTTTTACCTTTAAAAACGCCTTTGGGCAACCTAAAGCAGAGAATGTTGGATTAATATATCCTACACCACAAGGAGGTCAGGGTATTATGTATTTGTGCATTTGTTTGTAACAGGCAAAAGGAAACGAGATAGACCCATAGTTCCTTTTGATGATCTGCATAGCATCACATTCTGAGTCGATTTATGCATGTCCGTCCGTCCGTCCATGTACTTTTGTAAACACATACAGGTCGCATTTTTGCACGATCCAAATGAAATTTTACACAAGTCATTTGTTTGACCCAGAGACGAACCCGAATGAAATTAGAGATAATCGGTCAAAATCAAGATATAGCTCCCATATATATCTTCTTCTGATTTACCTTTAATTGTGCACCAAACGTTTAATATCAGCCCAAATAGTATGGAATTTTGCACATACGACAGAATTAGGACTGAAAATAAGTGTGCCGAATTTGCTCGAAATCGTTGCAGATATAGGTATAGCTCCCATATATATTGTTCATCCGATTTGTCATTTTTGTCCTCCACAGCTGTAATATGCACTCTGTAACAACGATATTTGGTGAATGTAATTAAAAACAGCTCAGAAATACCTTTGCTAAACTTTATCGAGATCGGTTCAGATTTGGATATAGCTCCCAAATATATTAAATTCAGCTCAGAAATACCTTTGCCAAATTTTATCGATATATATATATATATATATATATATATATATATATATATATCGATAAAATTTGGCAAAGGTATTTCTGGTATATATATATATATATATATATATATATATATATATATATATATATATATATATATATATATATATATATATATATATATATATATATATATATAGGTATATATATATATATATTTATATATATATATATATATATAGTCTTTATCTGATTTTAAGTTAATCTCGCAGCAAAAAGGTTAAAAGTTAATAAGTTAAAAACCCTTCAAAGAAGAAAAATCGGGCGGAGGGTTCCATGGGAGCTATATCAAATTGTGGACTCATATTAATATTAATTTACAGGGACAACAGTTATCCATTGAGAACGCCAGATGTCAAAATTCAGTCCATTTCATTAAAAAATGTACTTTAAAACTTTTAATTTCTTTAAATAGGGGGATACTGTTATATAGTGACTATGCCCAAACGTGAAGCAATTTCCATAATTTTATTTTATAATTTTTATAACCTCCACCATAGTATGTTGAAAATTTAAACAAACCCGGATTCTGGAGAATCTGAAGAAAACGAATTAATTTCATTTTTAAGTAAGCCGAAAGAATATAAATTAAAAGTTCAATTTATTAGTTCAAAAGTTTTATTCTTGGGTTAATGTGTTGTATAAATCTTCAAATCCTCTGCTTTAGGGACCTTCCTCCTCCTCTCCTTGTATGTTATGAATACCCAAATTCATATTATTTCATAATGCCAGCACTACCAACCCATCCATTTCGTTGTAGACTTCTCAATAAATCTGACGATGCCTGATAAAAGTGATATCTGACATAGAATTCTAGGCTATTTAATACATAATTAATAGTTCACAATTAAGTGTTTGTATGTGTGTGTATTTTAATCCAATCCCAAAGGTTCTTTATAAGTCACTAAATTAGACAAAAAATATGATTTTAAATCGGTGTGTAGTTTACCAACGCATTTGCTGTTCTGTGAAATTTCGTTGCATTTGTAAAATTTTTATTGTATGTATTGAATGTATTTTGAATAAGAAAAAAAATTAAAATATTGGTTGTGTTCAAATGAAAAAAGAAGAAAAAAAATAAATAAGTTAAAGAACATTTGACAAGAGCTAGAGTTTTATAGTCTCTATACACTTCTTACCATGAACCTGGTCGATTGGCTTGTGATCTTAAAATATCTTTTTATAGAGAGGAACATATCCGCGATATATTAAGGTATGTCCGTGTGTTGACGACACATCATGGTAGGCAGGGCTTATAAGAGACTAGGAGCAGATCAAAAAAAAGTTCTTTTTTTGTTAAGTGTTAGTGATATTTTATAGTTAACGAAACGGATCTGAAAAGATTAAAAGATAAATGTGTGTGTTTTAAAAATGTTTAAATGTGGTTTAATATTTTTTTACAACTCAAGAATGAAAAAAAAATATTTTAGAATGCATTTCAAAGGAGGCTATATATTAATATAATTTATTTCACGCAATTTATTTTTTTTAGAAACAAGTAGTCCGATACAGACATGATATATGGACCGATTAAAAAATTGTAGTTCTGCCATTCATTCAATATAGTTTTTTTTATTATTACGTATCAATGTACAGACCCGAACATATATTTGGATGGTGTTGATTTGTAATAGTAATACCAATTTAGACAGAAAAGCTAAAATATATATTGTAATGGAAACAAAAGGTTATGTTTTAAGGATTATCTTTATATGTTTGTATTGTAGTTGGAGTATCTGTGGGAATATTTCTCATTAAAATTAAATAAAATCTGCTGTTTTTGAAATACTGGGTAGAGATAGTACCTCAACAGGGTGAGTTAAAAAAGCTGCACAACGTCAAACGCCATAATTTTCACACTTTTCTTTTTTTTAATGTTATTGAATGAAAGCAAAAAATGTCGGAAATATCATCAAATTTTAGAATAACTATAGATTTGTTCGAATTGGTTAGGTTTGGCACGAATTATGGCCTTCAAATGGCCAATGAAACCGTCACACGGTGTCCGAATTTTGCTTTGCGGTATTTTGCCCCATTCCTGGCGAAGCGCTTGCTTGAGGTGATCGAATCTTTGGTATTTTTTAATGCCAACCTTGCTTTCCAAAATGCTCCAGATACAATAGTCCAATGGATAGGTAACCGGAGATTTTGATGGCTTTAAATGAAGCGAGGAACCTCATTTTGTAACCATTCTTGTGTGGCGCGTGCTAAGCCCTGTTGGAATGTTTAAGGTCTGCAGCTAAAATGTTTGCGTGCCCAAGGCTTTAATACACCCTCCAGAATATTTTCGCGATAATATTCGGCATTTATGCTGATGCCACGGTCGATTAATACGAGCGGAGAGCGGCCATCGGCTGTTATGGATGCCCACAATATCACCATGGCCGGCGCTTGAGTTCTGGTGGCCAACCGAAGGTGCACATTTTCAGCTGACCTCTTTGGCAAGGAAACACGATCATTTTGTTTGTTTACAAACTGCTGGACAACGAATGTTTTCTCAACGGAGAAAACCAAATTCGGTCTTTTGATTCTATTTTCTTTCTGTTGCGGTGTAAGTTCTTGCATTTTATGAAATTTCATTAGCTTTACTCCGAGCTCATTTTTCAATATTTGCGAATGGAATATTGCGATATGTTCAGCTCATGAACCATTTTCCGGAAACTGCGACGCGGGTCTCGATCAAGTCGGTTCTTTACTTTTCGAACCATTTCTGCTGATGTTACTTCCTTGACGTCGGGCTAGGCTACCAGTATCACGGTATCGAGCGATAATACGAGACACAAAAGATCTATTCACATTTAAATGCTGGAATGCTCTAACGAGAGCGACTTGGTTTGGTTTTCCAGCCAAATATAAAGAAATCACACTATCACGCTTGAATTTCATTACGAATAACTATTTTCGGGAAAATTCTCACCAAGATGCTTTTGTACGCTTGTAAGCAATATAATGAGATGTCACTGGAATAATTTTAACAGCTGACGGACAAGTGGCTTAGAAATGGCAGCAGTCTGAAGATAGTTGCAATTTCTTCATCTCATCTTATATTTCCATGAAAATACATACACATCTAAAAAATAAAAAAACTTATTTTTAACAGCGTCACTGCAACACTTTAGAAACTTTTATGGATGGGGTAGCTTAAATGTTGTAACGATATAAATTTCAATCG